CCTCATTTATATATTCTAAAATGTATTTGAATTTTAAATCGTTTTCAACTTCCCTTTCAAAATAGTATTATTTAATTTACAATTGACTTTTGCAAATTTATTTATAAAACCGTTTATTATATTTATTCTAACGAAAATTATTGTGTGATTAGTTCATTATCCATTAGGTATAACTTTCTAATCTAAAATTAAAAAATAAAAGCTATTGTTAAAATAAAATATCTGTATAACGACCCAAATTTCTAAAATTCTAGTTTGATTCGGACTAGTTATCATATATTTACCTAATTTGTGGTGAAAAAACAAAAAAACAAGCTCGTGGCAAACTCAATTGAACTTACCTCAATATCACTTTTAAAATCAAACATAAACACATTTTATTCTATTAAAAATCAACCAGGCTCAAATCCTAAAATTTCTTTACCTTAAAAACTACAAAACCGTCACACCAAGAGGTGCAACCTCAAATCTTACCGACTTCTAATTCTCGAAGTTCTTACACCTTTGAAGACTAAAGTCTTTAGAATAGAGTTGAATAGGTGTTGAACTCGAGTCACAGTTTTAAGTGTCAATTAGAATAAGTTTCAAGTGCAAGTTAGATTTTGATATCTATCCGTGTAACTTAAGCATTAGAGTACATTGAAAAAACATCACACGTCTCCGTAGCTTTCTTTACGTGTTGGTTCAAATTCCTTCCATTAGAGAAGCAGTCGGTTTAGCTTGACTAACGAGGCAAAGAAACTTATGGATCAAATGTGGGATGTAGAATTATTCAAAACGTCTAATAACCCAAAAAATCTGATCAACTCAAAAACTTTATAAACTTGATTAATTCTCTACCGCTCTTCAAAATAATTTTTATATACATATTTTTATTTTTGTTTAACTCTATAATTATTTTTTATTATTTGTTCTCTACCGCTCTTCAAAATAATTTTTACTATTTGGAAAGTAATTTTCCAAAGTATATATTGAAATTGTGAGATCCACATCGGTTGAGGAGGAGAACGAAACACCCTTTATAATACCTAGCATACGCGTTTTAAAAACCTTGAGGGGAAGCCCAAGAAGGAAAGCCTAGGGATGACAATATCTGCTAGCGATAGGCTGGGCTGTTAAAATGGTATTAGAGCTAGACATTGAACGATGTGCCACCGAGGAGGCTGTTCCTCGAAGGGTAATATGAACCAAAAGATATTAATCATACAATATACTTCAATGAAGATGTGAAGAAAATGTTGTCAAAATTATCAAAAGATGTTTCAATTCATGCTACAGTGAAGAAGAATGAAGTTTGATTGTTGTAAATTTTGGGTGGGTTACAATTTAGAGTAATTTAGAGTTATTGTGTTTTAAGACTTTTTATTTAATTTCGGTTACATCTACATAATGGCTAATTATGGCCATAAAGTATGAATGTTACAACTCTTGGAATGCCTTTAATAGTTTCATTTTTGAAGCTATATAAAGCCTTGTATGTTGTATTTGTGAAGAGACTTAGAAAATATAGTAGAAGAAGCATTTATGCTCTTCTTTAGTCAATGGCTAAGTTTCTTTGCAATTCTATGTAGTTTAGGTTGAGTAGAATCATTCAAGCTTGTCATGATTAATCTTGTTTGTGGAATGATTCGAATCTCAAACAAGTGTTTGAGATATTTGATCAACAAGAATCATTCAAGCTCGACATGATCAATCTTGCTTGTGGAGTGATTCGAATCTCAATCAAGTGTTCTTCTTATCTTGAGATATTCGATCAACAAGGTAATCCGAATCTTACCCTCCTTGTAGTTGATTCCTTATCTTATCAAAGGGGTAGAAACAAGGCGGTGTGCCAGTAAGGACACTGGGTCCCTAAGGAAGGTGAATTTAGTAGGGGTCCCACGTTGATTGGAGAAACGAATGAGTCCCCGTCCATATTCCTAATACATAAAATTTAAACGATGAAAACAAGAAAAAATCCAATGCCCCATCCAACGCCCACATTGACTATTGAAGCCAATGATGTCACCGTGTGAAGACATTGTTAAATTTTAGGAATACATAATATAGCTTCTCTTAATATCAAATCTCTTAATATCAAAAGCTCCGAAAGCTTTATCTATCAATAAAATAATTAATTAATCGATGCCACTTTACCATGCTATCCTACTGTATTAGTGCATGCTACACCCGAATGAATTTAACAATGACTAAGAAATATATTATCTATATCAATAATTTGCACCTTCCTTTTTTATGACTTAATCATAGGAACTTCAAAATTATGTTTGTTTTACTTGGAGCAATTTTATATTTGGTGACTTTTTTTTAGGATGGTCTTCTTTCTTAGAAGCGATGAGTACAAATGATGTAAACAGATGATATAAGAGAATGTTGAAGTCATTAGGCGATGAATCCAACAAGGAGTAAGTAACGTGATCATGCTACAGGTGATATAAAAGAATGTCGGGGCTATTAGATGACGAATCCAAATACTAAATTTCGGGCACAACGTGTTACAAAAATTTTAAATCTCCACAAAAAATAATAAGAGTATGATCTATAAAGTCGAATATTTGACCTCTTAATTCAGACCGAAATATATACATAAACTGTAAATTTTTTTACTTGAAATGATTTATAAAATGTATTTAAAGTGGTTCTAGAAGACTTATTAGAAAATGTGGAATGTTTTGGATATCTAATAATACAATTTTCAGAAAATGGTATGATTTTCCACAACGACTTAGGAACTTGAGGAAATTTGTTTGACTGTCTTTGTAATGACCAAAATCTATTTGATCTCTCTTCATTTCATTTATTTAAATTTCTAAATGATTTGGTATCTATCAATTTTCTTCATCTCTACCAAACAATAATGTTAAGCCATCTAACAATTTTTTTTTAAAGAGAAGTACATGAACTCGTTTTTATAAAAGAAACAAACCCTAATTCTACCTCTGGGGTTTATATAACTCGATTACTCAATCAACCTTGTAATGACCCTAACTTATTATAGTTTTAACATTGTTATACTTATCACAGTCATATCGTTACATGAACGTACCTTAGTCATATTGTTTCTTCTCTGATACCAACTGTAACGACCTAAAATTTTCTACTTGGAGATGAAGGTGACGTTTTATGAAAGTTTATAGAAGTATTTCCGCATTCAATGTTCATGATATGTATACAGCGATGACCTTAAATTAGGTAAAAAAAATTTGGGTCATTACAAACCTGCACTACTCAATCTAAACCATAAAAATTGGGTTGGGTTCAACTTTTAAAAAATAAAAAAAGTTGGTTCAGTTTATAGGTTGACATTTTTTCAACCATGTCAACCCACCAACTTGAAAATAAGGTTACAATCCAACACAACCCTACTCTATTTGTAAAAAGATTAAGAATATTCCATGTTTGTGAACAATGTTATATTAGTGTGACTGGTAAATGTTTAATATTTGAAATTTATGAGATTTTAGTTATTAATGTAATATGTACGGTGGATAAGTAAGATTTTTTAAAAATAATTAAAAAAATAACCCGACAATCCAACCTGACCCAACCTGAAAAATAGAGGATTGGATTAGGTTGATTTTTCTATTGTTCGGGTCACACAAGATCATGTTATATTAATGGCGACATGGCATAAAATAAGAAAATAAGAATAATGAGGTAAGTGTTAGATTAAATTTACATCATATGCATAAGATTGCTTGAGAAGTAATTGTGGACTTCTGACATTATTGTAAGAACAAAAATAAAAATGAAGCATATATATATATATATATATATATATATAATAAAGTTCGCATTAAAGTGTGTGAGAATTAGGTAGGCTCCGACCAAAGAAAAATATTAGTAATTTTATGCGTGTACAAATCACTAATCATCAATTCATAAACTAACCTACCCCATATGCTTTTCAATAATATCATAATTTTCCTTTTCTTCAAATTATAAAATATATATGTGGGAAAAAATGGCTCTTAGAAATTAAATTAGAAAACTATACCTTTTACTTCATTAGTATCCCGTTTCTGAAGTATTTTCGACCGAATTGAGGCTAGAAAATGTTAGTATAACTATTGTTTTGGACAATTTATAATATCTAGCATGTTTTAGGATTAATTTTAAGATAACTAAGTGATGTTGGCTCACTGATAGACTGTAAGCTCGATTTTCTAAACTAATGAAATATCGAAGGTGAAATTAGATCACGTGAAACTAAGTCTAGGAACATTAAGCCTAACAAGCTTAGATGCACTAAGTTGAGTCTGAAACTATAAGTGAGATTATTGTTGGAGTGCATCTTGGTTAGGTTGGATGAGTTGATTAATGCATATATAATACGTAACTTGTAGCCTATTTACGTGTTGTTGTTTATGATATGATATTCTAATGAATTGTCGTGATGTATGTACTTTCTATTTGTTGATTCATGTTTGTTATGTTACGCTCACGTTATGCTCTGTGAGACATGTATGATAAAGCATGAATTAAATATCACAAATATAATGCATACATCTTCTAAAAAGATTGTGTTATGAAAGTAAGGAAATATTATGTGCATCATATCATTGAATAATGATTCTGAATGCTAGACCTCATGCATGTTCTATGTCACACGAACATGAATTACTTCTCTATTATATTACATATGAACGTGTACACCACGATATTATACGTGCCTCTTTCTTTTATGTTAGTTTTTGGCAACGTAAGCATGCACTAACTCATAGTCAGGTCCAAAGGATACATAAATACGCCCACCTAATGAATTTACGTGTACTTACATGAACCGATTTACACGATGAGTGTAAATAAGAATAGAGTTTAAAAGTGAGATAATTTCCAAAATGATAAACAAACCCCATAACTAGAAACAATTAGTCAAAACAAAAAAGACAAAATTAATCAAAAACATCAAATGTCAAACCACTTTTTCCCTTCTACACTATAAAAACAGGCACTTTCCTAGTCATTTTTCTAACATATAGTCAATTTCTAATCTTCCAAAGCTCAAAATCTTTCAAAGGGTCATGATGTCGAGGTCGCCAATGCTCGAGAATGGTGTAAAGAAGGGGCCATGGACGCCAGAAGAAGATCAAAAACTAGTGGATTATATTGAGAAATATGGACACGGGAGCTGGAGATCTCTTCCAAACCTTGCTGGTTTGAACAGGTGTGGTAAGAGTTGTAGATTAAGGTGGACAAACTATCTTAGACCTGATATCATTAGAGGAAACTTCTCTGATCAAGAAGAACAAATCATCATCAATCTTCATGGAGCTCTCGGAAACAAGTAAGTTTTTTTTAAATCTGATCGTGAAATGTATATATGAACTCCTTTTGATTTCGAGATCAAGAGAACTTTCTGTTTCTGTTTTTGTTTTGTGTTGCATTAGATGGTCGATAATAGCAAGACATCTCCCGGGACGAACGGATAACGAAATTAAGAACTTTTGGAACACCAACTTGAAGAAGAAACTTCTACAGATGGGCATTGATCCTATCACCCACATGCCAAGAAATGACCCTTATCTCAACAATCTCTCAAATCTTCATCACTTGCTTTCTTTTTCCACAGCTCCTTGGGACAATCCATTAGGGCTACACTCACAAATCACTCAACTAGCAAGGGCTCAGCTCCTCCAAAATCTATGGCAACTTCCAAGCACCTCTTCTCCTTCCCTTTACAATAGCCTCTTCAATGCACAACAAATCTCTTATTTACAAACCTCACCGATAAGCGTTGAGCCCTCTGAGAAGCCGCTATCGTGCGAAGACTACGACGGGGCGATGGATGACACGTTAGGGTTCCGAAACGATAGCAATCAATCAGAGACTCCTTATGACATGAGTCAAAGTTCAAGTTCACTTCCGAACTTGATTCCAACTTCTCTTGAATGCTTGAAAATACCGAGCGTTGTAGAAGATAAATGGGAAGATCTTATAAACGATGAAGAGTCAGAATCTTACTGAAACATGTGGTCAAGTAAGTTTTAAGAATATGAATAAATAATTAATTTTTGGGTTCTATAGTAATTTGATCGTACGTACTTTAACTTATGTTGAGTTTAAAGCCATATTTGCTTAGTGACGTTTTCTGTTTTTGCGCCTCTATCATGGACTGTGCCATAGAAGATGCCTCTCGTGAGATGATTCCATCTTTTTATCTAATATTCACGCTCCACGCCTAAGATTCTTATCAAGATTTAAAATTTAGATTGAGTATTTGATGGCCCCGAAATTTTTGTATCTACGTCACGACATGATCATATTATTTACTTGTCTTAAAGTGTTCTAAAAGTGAACTATAGATGCACGCCAATACAAATTCTAAACTTTTAACATGTTTTGTCAAGTATTTTTTAGGAAAATTCATAAAATGTGAGATTGCTCTAACCTAACCACAGTTAATTTTAAAATTTCTATGATTGAGTAACCTAACCACAGTTAATTTTAAAATTTCTATGATTGAGTAACCTAACCACAGTTAATTTTAAAATTTCTATGATTGAGTAACAAAAAACGAAATTGCACTTTGTCGGTATAGATAGTGTAACAGTCCAAGTTCACCATTAACAGATATTATCCTCTTTGACCCATTACGTATCAGCCTCATGATTTTAAAACATGTCTACTAGGGAGAGGTTTCTACACTCTTGTAAGGAATGTTTCGCTCCCCTCTCCAACCGATGTGGGATCTCACAATCCATCGCCCTTGAAGGCCTAACTTCCTCAACACAACGCCTGATGCCTGGCTTCAATACCATTTGTAACAGTCCAAGTCCATTGCTAGTAGATATTGTCCGCTTTGGCCCGTTATGTATCGTCATCAGCCTCACGATTTTAAAACGCGTCTAGTAGAGAGATGTTTCCACATCCTTATAAGAAATGTTTTATTTCCCTCTCCAACCGATATGGGATCTCACAGATAGCAACTATCAATTATTTGAAGTCTTTCTTAACCATAATTTCAATCATCGATATTACTCTCATCTAAATGTGGTCTCATTTACTCATACGTCATATGGTAGCTCGTTTAAGGCATCACACGAACAATGAAGATAGCTCATATTGTATTGGCCTTATTTTTAAAGCATTCAAAGAATTGATGATACCCATGTTTGAACAACATGAAATTATTGATTCTTGTACTCCTAACAATGGTAAAGAGTGAAATGAGCTTCCATTATTACAAAATTGACAAGTTTATTGAGGTAGCTTCATTAAAGGACTCCATGAATTGAATCAGTAGGTAGCTTGTTGACCTTTAAATCTAACTAATCCACCTACTTTCCCAAGTTTGATGATGTTTAATATATGATGTTTTCCCAAATCTAGCCTACCTATCAATTTCAATATATGTCTTTATCATTTGTTTTTCCTCGTTTAATTTATCGAAGAAATCAAAGTGTCCAACATATGCCTGATACGGTAGACGATTATCCCTACCCTCCATAGCTTTGGAGTTTACGTCCATTCCTAACCGGGTGCAATTTCCTTTTTCTTTCTCACTTGTAGTTGTTACCCGAATTCATGCAACCATCCACACTCTCCAACTGACTTGAAGAGGAATCCAATGTGAGATCCCACATTAGTTGGAGAAGAAAACGAATCATTTTTTATAAGGGTGTGGAAACCTCTCCCTAACATACGCGTTTTAAAAACGTGAGACTGACGACAATACATAATGAGCTAAAGTTGACAATATTTGCTAATGATGGGTTTGGGCTGTTACAAATGATATCAGAGCCAGACACAAGATGGTGTGCCAGCGAGAATGCTGGGCTCTAAGGGGGTGGATTATGAGGTCCCACATCAGTTGAAGAGAAGAACGAAATATTTCTTATAAAGGTGTGGAAATCTCTCCCTAACAGACGCGTTTTAAAAACGTGAGGCTGACGACAATACATAACGAGCTAAAGTTGACAATATTTGCTAATGATGGGTTTGGACGGTTACAAATGGTATCAGAGCCCGACACAAGATGGTGTGCCAGCAAAAATGTTGGGCTCTAAGGAGGGTGGATTGTGAGATCCCACATCAGTTGAAGAGAAGAACGAAGTATTTCTTATAAAGATGTGGAAATCTCTCCCTAACAGAAGCGTTTTAAAAACGTGAGGCTGGTGACAATACATAACAAGCTGAAGTGGACAATATTTGCTAACGATGGGTTATAAATGGTATTAGAGTCAGACACAAGACGGTGTGCCAGCGAGAATGTTGGGCTCTAAGAGGGGTGGATTGTGAGATCCCACATCGGTTGGAGAGGAGAACGAAACATTCCTTATAAGGGTGTGGAAACCTTTCTCTAACAGACACGTTATAAGAACTGTGAAGCTGATGATAATACGTAACGAATTAAAGCGAACAGTATCTACTAACGATGAGTTTAGATTGTTACATCCATTCTCATAAACAAACACGACCCGTATAATTATGGGAGAAGAAAGTAATGAAACTAAAGTGACTTAGAAAGTAATGAAGCTAAAGTGACTTTAGAATGAAGCACTACAACTTTCAAGAATCAATGATAGTGGTAAGCTTCCCTAGATTTGGAAATGGCAATCAAATCTGTAATAAAGGGTAGGCACAGATTCCACGCATTTTTCCATAAGCAAACAATCATCATCATTCATTTCTGAAAATTTAATGTTATTTGTACATATGAATAAGGTAAAGGGAATTTGTCAAACTTACAGCAAGTGATATCTGATATCATCCTCCAGCTCATTCTCTCCTTGCTGATCTGGCATGAATATTGGAAACCATACAACCATGCTTTATTTCTATCAGTCATCTCCATGTTGTCACCTATCTTTTCTTGTAATTGATTTCCTTCTGCCAGAGTGGCAAGATTTTGATGCCCACTAATCTGTCTGCTTCTTTTGTACATTTACTTGAACAAAGGAAGATGCTGGTATTTGTAGGGAACTAACAACTTCCTGTTAGGGAGCGGGTTTGGTCGATCGAAGAAATAAACAAAAATGTGGGTAATATTCTCGACAGTAAAGAACGAACCGGGTAAACAGCATGGTGATCAAATTCTGGATTAAGGATTTCGTTTTCGACTAATCTTATAGAACAACGGTGGTGGTCTGATCCTACTATATTTGGTGGTTAGAAAACACACGAGATATTAAATGTTAGGTAGGTGGCCACGCCATGGATTGACCAATAGGTTATGACCGACCACGAGGCTAACCTAGGCTAGTTGATGAGGTAAATTCGTGGATGAGGGTATGTTATGGGCTGCCAAAAGCATTTTTCCCTTGAAATTATCGGGTTTGGGAGTGGGATAAAAAGTTCTACTTAGAGAAATCAAAAGGGAAAGGCACTTGTAATTTGCTTATGAGAGCACTAACAGTGAAATTCCACGTTGGTTGGAGGAGGTCTTAAGGATGTGGAAATTTCTCCCTACTAGACGCGTTTTAAAACCGTGAGACTAACGACGATACGTAACAAGCTAAAGCGAACAATATCTACTAGTGGTGTGCTTGAGCTGTTATAAATGGTATTAGAGCCAGACACCGGGCCATGGTTTTAAAATGCGTCTACTGGAGAGAGGTTTTCACACCCTTATAAGACCTGTCTCCAACCGATATGGGATCTCACAATTCACCCCCTTGGGGCCAGCGTTCTCGCTAGCACACCGTCTGATGTCTGGCTCTGATACAATTTGTAACAGTTCAAGCCCACTACTAGTATATATTGTCTGTTTTAGCCCGTTATGCATTGTTGTCAGCAAGCGAGGTGGATTGTGAAATCTCACATCGGTTAGAGAGGGGTCTCATAAGAGTGTGAAAATCTTTCCTTAGTAGGCGCGTTTTAAAACCGTAAGGCTGACGACAATACATAACGGGCTAAAGCAGACAATATCTACTAGTAGTGGGCTTAAACTGTTACAAATGGTATCAAAGCCAGACACCAGACGATGTGCTAGCGAGAACGCTGGCCCCAAGGGGGTGAATTGTGAGATCCTATATCGGTTGGAGACGGTCATATAAGGGTGTGAAAACCTCTCCCTAGTAAACACATTTTAAAACCATGAAGGCTAGTAGCAATACGTAACAAAAGCAGACAATATCTACTAGCGGTGAGCTCGGGCACAGGGCACACAAACACACCGTCATTTCCTAGAATGTTACAGCTACTATAATATTATATATTGCAGTCAGCTAACAAGATTCACTAGAAAATTTCAGAACACTAAATGAAATGGAAGCAAAAGCGATACTTTTATTTTGGTTAATGCATTCCCATTCAACAGAACATTACCACATTTTCATTTACATTGGAAGAACTAAAGGCTACCCCATCACTCGGTTTATGAACAATATCCAAGAAAAATTTGGTCAAGAAAGGCTCATAGTTAGGCATTTTGGCATACCCAGGTAAGTAATTAATATCAATCACAAGATATCTATTCAGATCATTACTATCCCTAATCATATCAAAGTTAAAAAGCCTAAGCCCTGTTGCTTCCCTTAACCCAGCAGCCACATGCATCACAAAATCCAAAGATGGCATTACAACATTACCCTCGTCGTCCCCTTGAGCACCTGAATTTGATATCTGCGAGAACCTCGAAACCGCTTCCAATTTCTCCACCTCCTCCGCCGAAATGTCCTGCAAAGATTTCCTCGTTACGCACACCACGCACTCCCCGACGACATACACTTTGAAAACAACACCGCCATGATTGACGAATTCTTGCAGCACAATTGGTGGGTTTAATCCCTTTAATCCGTTATCGTTCGACACCAGGCTCAATTGATGCGATTTTGCAGAGCCATCGGACTCCAAGGGCTTGGCGATTACAGGGTATTTGAGCCCCAAATCGCGAAATGCATTCAACCCATCTTTGATTATGATATCCAAATCATTCACCACGACTTGTCTGGGTGCCTCAATTCGCTCAACCCCTTTGGGGATTTTGACGTCATTGACGACTTGAAGCATGGAGTCACGATTGAGGAGGCGGGAGATTAGCTCAGGTGGGTCGATGATGATGACATCAGGGAATTGGGAAGTGAAATCGTGTAATTTTTTAACCCAGGAGGGGTCGTAGAGCTTGTGGATGATGCAGTGAAAGGGGGGTTGATGAACAAGAGGGATAAGAGGGTCGATGCGGACAAGGTCTACGCCATGGAGTTTGGCGTAGTCGATGAGTGAAGGGAGGATGAATGAACGCTCCTTTTTGGGGGAAAAGGCGTAGCCGATTCGGAAGCGAGGGGAAGACATGGAGGGAGGGAGGGAGGGATTGAAGAAAGGGGAAAAGGGTGTTTGGGAATTGGGAAAATGGAGGAAAAAGTTGAAAGAAATTGGCGGAGGGAGGAAGAGCGAAGTGGAGGTTTATATAGTGAAAGTTGGAAGACAAGTGTATGGCAGTGGCAGCATCGATTAGTGATCGGTTTCTCCGTTTACATCATCCACGATGTCATAATCAATGAGATGATTGTGCCCCGAGAAAGTTATCGAGGACGATAGTCGGTTTAGTGGGAGAGAGTGTCACAACATCACTGAGTGGAGAGAAAGTAGATTGTGACCACACACACGCAAGATAGACCAGAGGTGCAAAAATTAATGAGTGTCATGATGCGATCGAAGAGGACGGTGCATCATCCAACACACTAAGAGTATGCATTAAGTTAAGTCGAGGCATATGCAAGGTTTGAAAGAACGAGGTCACGCAAGTGTTGAAGACAAGCTCGAAGAGGGCTGGGTAGGGTCTTGGGCCATAACCTCAAGTTTTGATATGAGTTTCGACATGCAGTTTTGGAGTTAAGTCCGTCTGTATAAAAGATGAAAGCTCACCGAATTTCGTGTCAATTAGATACTCGACGAATGATATATGGGGTCGTATAACTGTTAGTCAGAATGACGTCTATGGTAGGAGGATTGGAAATTACTCAAAATGTACTATAGCAAGAGGCATGATGTCATATTAGCATAATTTTTTTTCATTAAATATACATTTTTACTAGATTATACGAAATTGAAGAATGAAAATAATAATAATAATAATTAGACTATCCAAACCCGTGCTACACATAACCAAACATGAGCTATAAAGCTCGGGCCACAAATCCAAGCTACATTATGCCTTCAAGTCTTGTAAGGACCCGATTTTTATATTAAAAATAAGGTTGTCACTGACTCACTACTGTATGACATGATTGTTAGGTGTGGAATCGGTCAGTATTTAAAAAATAATGTCATAGACTTAAATGTCCGTAATAAAAGGTTTAAAACAAAACAATGAAAAATAAATAAAGTAGAATTTAAATAAAACAATGTTGTGACCGAGAAAATGAAACTACTCTAATATTGGTTTCATGGCTTTCAATACGACGTCATTGTCATCCGTACGAGAGTAGGGTGTTGGTGTTTTACATTTATCTGAAATATAATAACTTGACTTGAATATTTTAAGAAATAATCAGTAAATAATCCGGGTTAAGAAATGCAAACACGTACTACTTGAGACAATTTTTATTTTAAAATTTAATTTTGGGTTATTACAAGTCTACTCTATAGATATAGAAATTCAAGCTTTAAATACTGAACGTACGTGCCATCTAATCTCTAAGTTGAAAATGCAAGCTTTAAATATTGAACGTGCGTGTCATTTACTCTCGAGTCTATAGAAGCTCGAGCTTTAAATATTAAATCTACGTGCCAAACAAATCCTAAATGATATAGTCACCATACGTGATACAAACCGAGTGAAATTGACACCAACAATCGTAGAAACTAAACTTCTTTGAGCTCTAGTACACAAACCAAAAGACCACAATATGAAATCAAAATCAGATAAAGACGGGAGCTAGATGAAGGATTACGCTATGGCAGAAGTCGAAGAGATAAGAGAACTTGTTCATACCTCACAATCGAAACACGCTACAAATATTGATTAAGACTACGATAACACAATAAATTTTTATTCATCGTTTCTTAAACTAAAATACAAAATATTGTAGAGGATCAAAATAATTTTTTTTTTATATAAATGAGCAATCTTGTTTGTATTGGATTTAGTCTCAATTTTCCAAAGAAGGAAAAGGTTGGGGTTTGGTCTATGATTCCCTCCATTTTTGTTCCATCTCATCTCTTGGAAATCCTCCTTGTGTTGTGCCAAATATCAACACAAAAGTCGATCAAGTATACTTATCTCTCGTAAAGTGATATCAACGTCGGTTGGGTGAACGATATTCGTGGATGGAATTGAGTTGAATTTAAACATTAGGTTGTAGATCAACCTAAACGACTCGACCCAACTCAATCATAAGAATCCATGAACCAACTAAATTCATAAACTACATCTCCGGTATACTCACGTGCTTCCTAAGAAAATTTTCAAGAGGCCACCTGATTTAAACTTGTTCAAATCAAAGCAAGTTTCACGTAGGAGTTCCTATGATTGAACCACCGTAAATGAAGGTTCACTTTGTTGATATACGTAATAATTTTCAATTCTTATGAGTCTTTGTTAGTTATCATATCCTCAAGATTGCTTTGACCGAGGACTCGCTGGTTGATATCTACGTCACAATGACTAAGCCATTTGAAGTGTATACGGCCTTGGGTGTGCCTTAGCCGCAAAGAAGCGGCCTGCTCCATCTCCGCGAATGGACGACCCAAAGGCCCAAGCCCAACTCCAGACGCATGCGACCCACGCCTCGACCAACCAACAACCCACGAACCACACGCTAACCCAAGCCACGACCTGCGTCCTACAATAGCGCACGCGTGCCCGAGCACTCCCCAAATTGCGGCTCGCATTCTGGCTTGAATTCTTGCACTCGACTTGTAGTCGCCTTCGCATGCTCTGGCGGCCCCAAACGGCTTATCAGGCTTGGGTGGACTATTTGGACTCATTTTCTATATTTTTGATCCGGTCCAGTAGATCCATATGCAGGTGCGTGTGTAGTGTGTCGTGTATATAAAAGTACTACACATCCAACTCTGTACAATTGAAAAGTCACCTAAAGTCATGTCATATTATTTTCAAAATGATAGATCTCACCATATCCCATGTGTTTGTATTTTTTTTTTACTCCAACAATGTTGTTTGAAATACTCAAACTACATGTTATTTTTTATTTTTTAGATAAAGGTAAGACACCGTGTAGAAATGATGACTTCACGATGAAGGTCATGAAACCAGAGCTTACATCACCGTCGTTTAAGCAAGATTTGACACATTATCTCTAGGGCGTTTATGTGTATTTAAGGTGACCTCTAGTCTTTCTTCGTCGTAAAACGGACCTAATTTACCTTTGATATTGTAAAGCTTGATGGATGGTGGCTCAGTACTTACAAGGTTAAACTATTCCATCAAGCTTTTGTCCATGTTTGGATTGCTAATTCAGCACACGTGAACAAAAGTCGTTTTCAAACGTGGAAGCTTGACTTTCACGTTCATGGAAACAGCAGCACCGTGGTTTTGCTTTCTCCTCTTCAATGGCGGAATTCTCCTCTTCCTCCACCTTCTTCTGCATAACTTCGTTGAAGAATTTCGTCAGAAATGCCTCGTAATCCGGCAGCACTGCAAATCCTGGTAAGTAATTTATGTCGATCACGTAGTACGTTCCATTCCGATCCCTAATCATGTCGAAATTGAACAGCCTAATCCCCATGGCTTCCCTCAGCCCTCTCGACACCTCCGTCACTATCTTCTCCGGCGGCATTTCGATCTCCTCCTCCGCCGCCGCCTCCTTCTTTCTGCCGCAATTGCATTTTTCGCTCTTCTCCTCTGCCCTAGATATCTGCGAAAACTTCATCGCTCCGTCTGTTTTTTTCTCCAATTCCTCCTCTGTTTCCACCACATCCGGCAGCGATTTCCTCTTCACGCACACCGATTGCTCTCCCGCGACGTAAACCTTGAACATTACCCCGCCGTGGTTCACAAATTCCTGCAGAAGCACTGGCGTTTCCAAATCCTTGAATCCGCGTCGATTGTAAACCAGAGACATTTCGTGCGATTTCGCGCTTCCATTCGATTCCAACGGCTTCGCAATCACTGGAAATTTCACCTCCAAATCCCTAATCAAATCGATTACTCCATCCTTCCTATTCAAAACGACCTGTTTCGGCACCTCGATCTTCACGCCGCTGTCTGAAACCTTCACCTGACTCACCACATCCAGCATCGATACTCTGTTGTAGAGTCGCTCGATCCGGTCCGGCCGATCCACAACAACAACGTCCGGATTCTTCAAGGCGAAATCCTGAAGTTTCTCCACCCAAGCATCGTCGTACATCTTGTGGATGATACAATGAAACGGACCTTGGTGGAGAATCGGCGATTGGAGGTCGATGCGGACCAGGTCGACACCATGGAGCTTTGCGTAGTCAATCAGAGATGGACGAATCACATTACGCTCTTTGTTTGGGGGAAAAGCGTAGCCTACACGAAAGCCATCCGAAGAAGACGACGACGACGAGGAAGAAGAAGAAGAAGAAGAAGAAGAAGAAGAAGAAGAAGAAGCCATGGCTGCTGCTGATATGCTGTTTGGAAGTCGAGAAAACGAACTCCGGTGCTGCTGCTGATATGCTGTTTGGAAGTCGAGAAAACGAACAACTCCGGTGATAAAAAACGCTCCGAGTTTGCGTAATTTATACGGTAGAGCGCGGGTGCATGGAGTCTGTTTGGATGCTCAGTTGGAAAATATTTTAAAATTTCAATTATTTTTTATTTTCAATTATATATATATATATATATATTAAAGTCAATAAAAATGAAATGGGAATCAAAAGTGGCTGCCTATTTAGGAAGGGATCGTTATCCGCTCCTGGTATTTTTAGATTCCTTCCAATATAATTAATTTTCAGCATTCAATTGTATAAATAATTTTTTTTTTTTTTTTTTTTTT